CAAATATTATAAAGTTCTTAAAGGGATAGTTCACCCAAAAATTAAAACTGTCTTCATTTAGGCTACTCAGCATCATGTCATTCCAAACCTGTATTAATTTATTTCTTCTGTGGAACATAAAAGAAGATCATTTGAGAAATTCAAGAAATTCTTACCCATACAGTAGAAATCAAGGGAAAACAAAATGGTATGGGATTACATCTCTGCCACAATTTTGCGTGCGAAAGATCATATTTTGAGAGCACAAAAGTGCATTTTGCACGCGGGCGATCTGAGTTTTCTATAGAATCCTAAAAAATGAACTTACTTAATAAGAATAACATACTGAAGTAAAATACTTGAAGACTGATTTATATATATATATATATATATGCAGCCTCGTCTCTAATTGGCTGGAATTATGGTATATTGTAAGGCTGGGTTGTGTTGAGCAAGCGAGCTGTTGGCATTTAGAGAGGGCGGGCATCAGGTGAGCAAGCTAGTGAAACGTTGCATGCGCAAAAGAGAAGGTCTGCACACATCCAAAAACTTATTTTAAATGCAAAATTGATTTTCGTGCGCTCTAAATACTTTCTTCTTTGCGAGACAAACATTTTCTCCGCAAAACTCAGTTCGCGCGCATGCAAAACGCACTTTTGTGCACTCAAAATATTATCTTTCGCGTGCAGAATTGTGGCAGAGATGTAATCCCATAGGCTTCGACCTTAAAATAATATATATAACAAGGTAATATTCTTATTTATTTATTTAAAGTCTGTCTAAAGCAGTGGTTCTCAAAGTGTGGGGCACGCCCGCCAGGGGGGGCGCACACGCTTGAATGCTGCTGCCTGAACAAGAGACCTCCTTACTGAAGTGAAAGTGTTGACTGGTGTCATTATCTCGCGAACGCGCCGGCGGATCTCCACCAAATTCGGGGGATCCCTTCAGCTCGAGGAGCCCTCTCGAACGCCACCCTCCGCGCGTCGGTAGCCCCCCTAATGAAACCCACAAAAAATAAATAAACAAATAACAGGGAGAATAATAATAACAGTTATTCTCTCTATTTTTCAATGTTTCAAGTGATACAGGTGTTTTTTCCCCTGTAGTTTTTTTTTATTAAAAAAGCATTAATTTTTCATAATGTTTATACCATAATATATAAACATAATATACCATAATTATTTAGTAGTCTGAGATGGGATTCGGGAAAGGGGAGGGGGGGGGGACGCCAGATTTTTTTTTGTATATTTAAAGGGGAGCGCGACCAAAAAAGTTTGAGAACCACTGGTCTAAAGTTAACAGACAGTGTTTAAAAAGTGCAGTCCACATGTTTACATGTTTATTACAGTGTCTTTGAATGACTTTAAGTAGTGTGGTAAAGCAACAGATTTGTTTTTATAGTTCTGCAATCACATCGTGCCTGGCCTACAGAAAAGAACATTTATGTTTAATCTATCTAATATTGTATCATACTATACAATGATTTATAGCTTGTCTTTGTTTAATAATACAGCTTTAAAAAATAATTGCATATTAAATCGCAATCGCAATATTGGTAAAAAAAATACTCGCAATTAGATTATTTTCCAAAATTGTTCAGCCCTAATTACACTGCAATGTAATAAAAGAATCTGTGTGTGCTAATGAACAGAAGTATGCTTGCAGCATGTTTCAGTGTGTTGCATACTCTCATTCAGGTATTTCTGTTTGTAGACTTTCACCTCTGAGAAGGAAGGAAGAATATGACTGCTGAAACACTTAACTTTGGCCCAGAATGGTAAAATCCTTTCCTTTCTATTTCTGTGTCTCCTTCTCTTGTTGTCAGATCTCACTTCGTTTTCTTTCTCCTCTTTTCCTCGTAATTTTTTTTTTTTTATCACTGTCCTTTGACCGATTTTCTCTGTTCCATTCTTTGTCACTGTCGGAGAAATTAAATGCAAGAAGTACTATCTCACTACCTTTTCCGGTAGTAAGCTACTTTAGGCAAAGTATAGGGGGATAAGTGTTGTTATTTTTTGCCATGTTGTTTTGCTTGTGTAGCTCTGAGGCGATAGTCAAGCACTCTCATAGAATGTCTTTTTGCTCATACACTAGCACTCAAAAGATTGGGGTCGGTAAGATGTTTTTTTTTTTTTTGCAATAAATTAATACTTTTATTCAGCAAGGTAGCATTAAATTGATCAAAAGTGACAGTCAAGACATTTGTAATGTTCTTTTTTTTTGCCTTTTCAAAGAATCCTGAAAGAAAGAAAAAAAATCAGTTTCCTCAAATATTTAGCAGCACAGATGTTTTTAGCACTGATAATAATAATAATAATAATATTGCATGTTTTCCTTAGCACCAAATCAGCGTATTAGAATGATTTCTGAAGGTTCATGTGACACTGGAGTAATGGCTGCTGAAAATTACGGGAATAAATTGCATTTTAAAATGTATCAAAACAGAAAACAGTTACTTTAAATTGCAATAACATTTCACAATGTTACAGTTTTTACTGTGTTTTTGATCAAATAAATGCAGGTTTGGTAAGCATAAGAGACGTCTTTCAAAAACATAAAAAAAAAAAAATAAAATCTTACTGAACCCAAACTTTATGTCGGGTAGTATGTGTTGTATTGGAAATCCTGAACTAGTTATGTTTTTTTTTTAAAGAGTAATGTATTTAGTTAATTTAAAAAAAAAAGAACAATATTATCTTTTGTCACACAGCCCAAAGCTCTGTTTTTGAAAATATATTTCCTTCCTAAATCACTTCAATGTAGTGAGCTTCAAAATGGTATCTTACCATTCAGTTTATTCAATTTAAAGGACTTTTCCTCAGCACTGCTCTCTACTTTTACCGTGTTTCTGTAAGGTTATCTCTCTCATCCTGCCCTTCTTCCCAACCCCCTTCTCTCCCTGTATCTCCTCTTGGCACACACAAAATGATTATGCAGAAATTAAACCATTAGGCGTGGTCCTCTGCTGAACTAAGGCTCTAATGTGCATAGTTGGTCCTCGGCCAACAAAAGTGAATTCCTGAGTTTGACATGTACAATGCAGGGGTGGTATGTTTCCTCAAAGCCTTCTTCATCAGCTTATCTCAGCGGGGTATTATTTATGTAAAGTTTACAAAGCCACCCACAGCTCTGAAACCCCTTTTCCACCAGCAAGGTGCCTCAGCCGGTTCCGTTTCACATGTTTCCACCGCTGAAAAGTGGTTTCAGTCAGGAAAAACAACTTTGCACTGGCCCCTAAAAGCTGCTGGGCTCGAACCAGGAACTACTAACATCAGATGCCGGGGGCGAGACAATGTCAGCACCAAGTAAAGTTGTCAAAACAACTAACTGGTGATTCTGACACCCAACAAAACCAGATCACTCCCAGTATAATCAGTATAATCATAAATCAGAGTTATTTACACTATAAGCACAGTTGCTATATACAGTATCTGACACAGCAACTCCAGCCCCTTGATTTTCCTGTTTGTCTAAAATTAAATATTATATAAGTATAAACACTACTGTTCAAAAGTTTGGGGTCAGTAAGATTTGTTTTTGTTTTGAATTAACTGTTTTTTTTTGTTTTGTTTTTTTTTAAGAAAGTATTTTCAAATTTATTCCTGTGATGGCATTACTCCAGTCTTCAGTGTCACATGATCCTTCAGAAATCATTCTAATATGCTGATGTGCAACTTGAAAACATTTTTGTAATATTATCAATGTATTAAAGGGGTCATATGATGCGATTTCACGTTTTCCTTTCTCTTTGGAGTGTTACAAGCTGATTGTGCATAGATAAGATCCCTGAAGTTGCAAAGACTAAAGTCTCAAAACCAAAGAGATATTCTTTATCAAAGTTAAGACTCTGCCACGCCCCCCTAAAACGGCTCGTTCTATCTACCTCACTATGTGGAAATATTAGCATAATGCCGCCCAAATGTGCACGCAAACAAAGAAGGCATGGTTTCAGTAACCGCAGTTAGTGTAGAAGCAGC